TCGAGGAGGGGAGTTACACGATGAAAACAGAGTAAAGAAAAACAAAATGGAAAACAAAATGAAAAACAATTATGGGTTATCTGTCCCATCCGCTCACGTGCTATACAAGCTATACATGCTAATAGTGCAGCACTCGAAAGTATCGAATCGTAACTGTCCTAGAACTGATGGTTTCCTAAGACGAGTGCCGTGAAAACTCGTACACATTTTTTCGTGACTGTCGTCCCGACAGGCCACTTCGCACAAACACATAAAAAATCACTTCACGCCTGTCGTTCTGGCAGGTCGCTTCGATATATACACAAAACACCAGAAACACTTACTGTGACTGTCGTCTCGACAGGCCACCAGAATAAAAAATGACCAAATATAACTGTCATTCTACAGGCCACAAACTACCAAAACTTAGTTAAAAAACGGTAAACATCGGCCCCAAAATCGTCCTGCGTCACTGTACGCTCGTGCACCAGGGCCGGGTAGGGTGGGATGAAAAAACCAGACAAAGTCAGGTTAGCAGAAAAAACAGAAGATACCTTTCGTGGGAAAAAACCTGTTCCCCTTAAATACTACTAACGATTACTAATCACAAAAAAAAAAAAAAAAAAGACGTAATTTCTAGATCACACAATGCATCAAGCAACAATCACGACAATAAGTCATAACGATAGATCAAACAATGCATCAGACAATCAACCCGTGATCGATTCGAGACAAAAAGCTGCTCCGATACTTTCGTATCAGGCAGCTACTTTTGTTCCTCATCGAGGAGGGGAGTTACACGATGAAAACAGAGTAAAGAAAAACAAAATGGAAAACAAAATGAAAAACAATTATGGGTCTCGCAGAGCATCGTCCTGAAAGGGTAAGGTTCTAAGCCTATGTTACCTTCCTACACAAAACCCATTAGCCTAGAGGCTCCCGACTCAGCGGTACTAATCGCTCTCAAGTAAACCTGAACTGCTCCCGAAGACCAACCACCAATTGACTGGATTTGCTCAATTGTCATTCCTCCCTTCATGGCTGCAGTCGCACCGCCAATCCTCAAACTATACGCTGTATACCTTCCATGCAGTCCAGCATTATCCGCAAACTGCTTCACAATTGCCGAAACCGCAGCCATGGATAACTTCCCTTCGTTTTTGGCCAAGAACAGAGGTTCCTCCGGCGACGTAGTCGGCCTCAACCTCAAGTAACAACTCAACAACTTCACCGGACATACTCTACTCGCCGACCTCTCCACCAGGATAAACTTACCCTTTCCTAACTGATCAGTTTTCGATTTCGTCACCCTAATCCACAACTTTCCGTCCTTTTCACCAACATCCGACCTTTTCAAATTGCACAGCTCATCTGGTCTACGCATGACCCTTAATCCCAAGGCCACCAAAGCCAGATCACGCGCCCACAGCACCCTGCTAACTCCAGGCGGGGGTAGTCAATATACCTTTCAATCACCGCGACTGGAAGAGGGTCTCTTGGCCATTTCTCTTCAATCTTCTCTCGAGTAACAGTTCTTTTAATCCCTTCCACAATTAACCGAATCGAACTACTCTTTGTAGGGTCCTCAAAACCCTTTACTTTGTGCTCCCTAGCTATCGCAGCTAAACAAGTTTGCACCTCTGCTGCCCTACCCGATAGCTCCATCCAAGCAAGAAAGGTTGCTAACAGTTCCCTTGATGCTGGATACGGGGACGCACCAACCCAAAGCGCAAAACTATCAAATACGCTTTGCGCCTTCAACAAGCATTTTTTATATTCCTTGCTAATAGAATTCTCTATTAAATGCTCCGCCCTATTCAAGAGCTTTTCGACCAATCCAATAGTATCGCCCTCAGCGTCCACTGGCTGTTCTTGCATGGTTCCAGGTTTCCAGAAGGCCCCGGCAACACAATTTGGTTCGTTGGAGGAAGCTCGATTTCCTTTCTTGGAGAATTTACCACAAGAGGCCACCACGGGGCCGAGACCCATACCAGAACTATAATCACTATCCATGCCCCACACTCCCTCGCATGGCAGAGAGCTCTGTGAATCAAACAGAAAGGGGGCAAACATAATTTCTTACCCTGGCCCAGTTCTGGGTGAAACAGTCTACTGCCTCCACCCCTGGGCAAAAGTAAAGACTATTGAATCTCCGGGTTTTTGTGTTTAGGTGGCTCGCAAACCTGTCCACCTCGAAACGGCCCCAAACCCGCTCCAACTGCGTCGTCACTTCTGAACTCAGCACTCAATCTCCTTGGTCCAACACTCTTGTTAGCGTATCCGCCGGGTTTAAGGCACTTGGGACCCACCTTGTGCTGAAGATTCCAATATCGGCCTCAACGCACAGCTTCCAAATTTCTCTAATAATGTCCTTTTGCCAATCCATTGGGCCCCACACACTACCATCTTCAAAGCGATCCTGTTGTTGATGAATAAAGTCATCCAGGTCCCTTTTAACAGCTCTTTGAAAGACTAAAGAGCTCGCAACACAGCCAAAGACTCCAACTACGCTATTACATCCGAGATGTGGGGCTGCGACCAACTTCCTGCTGCTTTGTGCTCCCGAAAAATTCCACACCAACCCTTTGTTGAGGTGTTGATGTACACCAATCTCACCTGACACGGTTTTCAGGCTGGTTGGCCATTCCACTTCCTTAGGTTTGCCGCCAACCAACGAATGTTCTCGATTGCCTGCGACGTTAACCGAACCTCGTTGTCCCAATGCCAAAGGAGCTGATTTTTTGAGTCGATTAACTTGTAAAACTCCATACACTTTACCTGGCTCAAAAGAAAGGCCCTTCCCAAACTCACTACCTTTCCCGCAACCGATGCCAAACTCCTTGCCGAAACGGTTGGTGCTTTTAACAGAGCCTCCAACATGAAAATTGCTGAACTTACTTTCTCCTCCGGGGCCACCACCACACCATTCAAAGTATCTACAATCATATCGCAGAATTTTATAGATTGAGTTGGGTTCCAACACCCTTTCTCCTTGGCTTGGACCCAACCACATCCCATTAGATCTACCTCTATGACTCTCTCTCTTATTTCCAATAACACCTCCTTTAACGGGTGAGCCACCCATACGTCGTCCAGGTGGTTGCCGCAGTACACTCCTTAGGCACGCCACTTGCCAATTAGAGCTCTCATTATCTTTGAGAACACCCACGGTGCCTAACTTAGGCCAAAAGGTAACACATTGTACTGGAACCACATTTTTGCCATGACAAAACCCAACAGTTGCTGTGCCTCGGGACTCATAAATACGTGATAATAACCGTTCTTCAAATCGAACAATATCACCCACCAACCCTTTCTGACTGTACGTAAAAGGCCACCTAACCCTTTGAAATGAAAAGACTTCTGGGGCAGGGCCTGATTTAACCTTCGTAAATCGATCACGAGACGAAACTTTCACAGCCCTTGTTTCGGGACCAAAAACACCAGGCTCACCTCCAGAAGACTTGCTGGCCGAGAATTTCCCTTGCACACTCTTGTTATTGCTCCCGATAATTCCAACCTTTTCAACTCCTTTTCTAACCAAATTTCCTCCTCCTTTGTAAAATGATAGGGCCTTGGATCCGGCAAGGTCGCCAAACGTACAAAGCCTTTTGGAAACAGGGGGCTTCCTTCCTTTAACCATCTCAACACCATCCACAAAGGCCGAATCACATTTTCCCAGTAATTTATTGCTGTGTAACTATAAATCCTTCCCGTAACTCGCTCTTCTGGAACCACCTCCGTTTTCTCCAACAACATCCGGGCGTAGTCAACTGTTTCCTGCCTGGGTCCTATCCTCTCGAAAGAGCAACCCAAGATACTTCCTGGAACTACATTCATTAGCAAAGTGTCCTTTCCCTTCACACAAGTAACAGACAACCTCCTTTCCCCTAGGCCTCTTATACTTATCATCCCTTTTGGACCAGAATGGCGAAGATGAGTATGATTGTTGTCGCACTAGAGGAGGTGCACCAACATTCGAATTAAAGTGCTGTTGGTGTACAAGCTGCTGTTGCTGTCCTTCGCTTTGCACAAACTGGGGCCCTGCCTGGGTTGATTGAGCTGTGAAGGGCATGAAGCCTCCAAACTGGCCTTGCAGAACCATCAGTTGGCTCAACACTTGTTGATTGAACCCCATTTGCGCAAATAAGGTTGCACTGGTGCAAATTGCGTCAAGGGAACACTGTTTACATGGACCATAGGACTCTGAACTTAAGCCCGTTCTGGACAAGGTTGATAAGCTGATCTCGGTTTTTTGGGCTTTGAAAAATGTTGCGCCGCCAATCTAGACCTCTCATGCTTTCCTCCCATCAATTCTGCCATTGGATCCAAAGCATCCTCAGCAACTATTTTTGACACAATGTCCCAACCATCTTGATCAGCCACCCTTACAACATAGGCTCTTTCCAACACCACCTGCCTTGCCAGACGAACGAGGGCTACGTTCCCAGAAACCAAAGCCTTATCCAACAATGAACCTATTTTACACAGCTCATTATACTCAAATTGGTTGCGCTGCTTTGTCAGCTTCCTCTTCTCCCAAAGATTCTTATGCTCTACGTCATCCAGCATCAAGGCATCCAGATCAGTGTTCCAGCTCGGAGCCCTTTTAATCCAGTGGCCGTTTTGAACTGCTTCTGAGCCCAACATCGGCTGACTTCCATAAGTGCTGTGAGCATTTTCAGCCACCGTCTTTAGTTGTTGTGGCCCATCACCAGCCCCCTGCAGAACATCAAGCTCGTTCAAAAAACCTTCAACCTGATTTGGGAGAGACTGCGGATGTACACTCTTTTCCTTAAACGAAGGCTCGTGATCCCCAACAGGCACTTCCGAACCCAACCGGGCCCTACTTTCCCTTGCCAACCTAGCCACAACCTCCTTCTTTGATCCACAATCTGACACGCCCATCCAACTCTCAATGCCTTCAGCAATAGACATTCCAAATTCGACT